AGTGGAGATGGGTTTCACCAGGCTGGCCAGGCTGGTTTCAAACTCCTGACCTCAAATGATCTGCCCACCTTGGCCTCCCAAAGTTCTCAGATGATAGCCATGAGCCACTACACCCAGCCATGAATGGAACTTCTAAATTAAAGTTCCATTTACACAAAAAGAAAAAAAAAATAAATGAACTTTAGCTTAATGTTTGGATTGCTCATTGCTAATGGGTAGGGGAATACTGACAGTTCCTGGCATGCTGTGGAGGTGTGATTACTCAGACTTTCACCCTTAATGAACTGGGACAAGGTAGAGCAGAAGCAGAGGCAGGTGAAAGGGGTAAAATCCCCTGGGCTCTTGAGAGGTTTGGAGGAAACAGTAACTAGAAGGACTGTGGAATCAAGTGACTTTTGCTAAGTGCCACTAACTCATTAAGAGAGAAAATGTCAGTCTCAGATCTGTTGCTCAGCAATTTACAGCCAAGTGTGAGAGTCACAGGGCCTACTTGGCACACTTAAAGAGACCCTCACCCTCTGCAGGCAGAAGGCAGAGAGAATGGAAGAGCAGGCACAGCTTCTAATTTTAAGAGAGGTTGAGTTCTCATTCTAGGCAGGTCTCATGTCAAAGCCAGGGGTCTGATGGGAAAGGAGTGGGACCATGATACTTGGGATGGGGTTATTTGGGGATTGCAAGTAAGAACCATGGATTTCCAGATTCCCCTGCAGAAGTGACCCACCCCACTTTCAGGAATATAGACCCCCACCCCTACTGCCAACTTCTCCCAAAAGACTACACAGAGGCTGCAAATGAGGCAGGTGCCTTACAAGGCAATGCTTTCCCTTAGATACAGAGTTAGATACAGATCTGGTGGCCAGGAGAGAAATGGGTCCACCACCACCTCCCTGTTGGCCGTCAGATCTGTATCTAAGGTCAAACCTCAGCGATCCCAGCTAGGAAGTGCTGGGCCAGCTCAGGAAGGAGGAGAGTTATATAGCAAAGGAGCTAGAGGACCTAGTTCATGCATGCCAGCTGGGACTGAAGCAGAAAGCCTGGTAATGGGAGGATAGGTGGTCTGTAAGATGCTAGGTCAAGGTGGGCTTGTGGGTCAAGGCCATATGGCTGGGTATGGGAGAGTGTTGGTGTGGGGGCACTGTCCTATGACAGGGATTCACTCCCTGGCAAGGGGGTTGGGCAGCTGCTAGGATAGCCCTGGGAAGCCTGGGAAAGGGATGGCACACGTTAAATGAATGAAGTAGAGATGCCAGGACTGACAACACCGGCGGAAAGAAGCAAAGATCAGAGAAGTGGGCGTAAGACCAGAAAACCCACCAGGCTAGCTACGCTCC